AGAAAGAACGCGCCCCTATGTGCCACGCATCGTCATATCTCTGGGTTTCCCGTCTTTCACCGAATGACGTGATGATTCGCATATTATTTCGAGACAGATATTGAAATACATGCGTATATAGAATTAGATGTGTATAGAAAAAAAAAAAAAAAAAAAAAAAAGAAATAATTTATTTGTTTATAATTTTTTTCTCCGGAATGTTAGAAGTATAGAATTATTGTATAGCCGATACTGCAGGTAGACAATAACACCACGGTAATGCTGCTTGAAGGTTTAATTGGTCTTTCTACTGAATCTTCGCGTGTTTATTTGTTGTACTAGTATATATGTTAACAGTAATATTACAGCTACTGAATTTACTTTCTAAAGCGAATTCTTCATGTCGATTTTGTTTCCTTTCGGCTAGAATTGTTTTTCGCGGCGTTTGCCTGTGCGTCCATCTCCCCTGTCATTATCTTCTTGATAAGGGAAAAGGTATCGTTATTCTGCAACATCTTAACGAGCGACGCATCTTTGTCGGAATAATCGTACTCAACGTCAACGGTAAAGTTAGGATCAGCTATTCGCCGATTTTTCAATTTGTAATGTATTCGATGATGATGGCGGGATTTCTTCGACGACTCTTCGGACGATAATTTCTCCGACGACGATACGGGGGAGGGTATTGTTATTCGTTTCTTGAATGTAATCGAGCTATTTCCGAGTAGATAGCTGTCCGGTCTCGTTTGCTGGATCAAATCAACATTCGATGATGTAGCATTTTTATACAATACAGGAGAAGATTTGATTATCTGTTTCTCGGATATAATCGGAATATTTGCGCTAGTGAAGCTGTTCAGCTTCATTCGGCGATTCGTATCGTCGTGCGATTTAGTGGCGTTTCCTTGTCTTATTATCTTGTATTTGACATGGATTTTATTCACGGGGACTTTGACATCGGTGAGAGGTTGTCTTATCACCCACTTAGTTTTCTTTTTTATTCTCGTGCTGTTCTCGTCCTCCTTCGGTATTACATTAAAACTTCTTCTCCCCAATTCGCTTATAAGCGTTTCCAAACCTACTTTAAGCTTTCTGCTCTTCGCGGAGCCAAGCGTTACGTTCAACAGAATCGCGATATCGTGCAACGCAACCGTTGCGTTGGCCGTTTTTCTTATATCAAAATTGCCGGGCAGCAACTTGACGAGTCTGCGGGGTGTCAGATATTTTTTGACGAGCTTCAAATGTGGCGTTCTCACAACAGATAACACGCGTAAGATCGGCGCAAGATCGTCTTCCGTAATATGCGGAACATCTGGATAAAGCTCCACTTGTTGAACAAGTTTCTCTATTTCCGAGTGAACATCCGTATTTAATTTCATCAGTTCTCGCAGCAAGTGCAACGTTCTCCTCTTGAACGTCCATTGTTTGTGGACAGTGAACGATCTCGGCAGTATCTTCGCTAAATTCTCAGGCTCGAGAAACGCCTTTAGTTTCGGATTGACGATATTCAACAAACTGACGAACTCAAAATCATTAAGATTCAGAAATCTCCTCCTTTCTTCAATCAGATCTTCGATGTCGTTTTCTAAAGTTTGAAAATTTTTGGCGAAGAATCTTTTTTTGACGCAGTGCCGATGATGCTTTCTCCCGTTTGAATGCTGTTTGAAAACGGAAGAACAGGTGCGATATAGAAGTTTGTGCGGATAGATATATTTCGAAAGAATATCACTCGCGAAATATATTAATATTTTATACATTTGATATGTAATCTTACCGAATGGTGCTGTCCGTCAACGGGTTCTGCGAATTGACAAAGCAGTGTCAATGCCATCAGTATTAAGATCCAATGTATTCGAGATGAGATTCGGGAACTCGCGGTATCGCACCGACGTCGGAACGACACGTCTCCTTCGCCTTCCATTCTGCGGTTTACGACATAATCGAAAACCACATTTCTCGCAGTAGCCATCTACAGAAGGAAAAAGAGAAATCACATTTTATAAATAATATTCTCGATTTTTCATATCTATCTTCTAACTCTTAATGCACAAGTCGTTAGTGTTTTGTAAATACTCAATGATCTTTTTTCCATTTTTCGTTTCGAAACTGCTACATGTCTTTGTTTGGACTTAAATTTCTCTCAGAATGTTATCGTTTTTGGTAATAATTATGTTTTTGGCATTGTTATTATTATTATCTTTTTTTCTAAATTTGCGTGTGTTACTCGAGTGCTCAGTGCGATGTCATTCTCGTCAATCTTTACGACTACGCTTTATCACAGTGGAGCTTATTCACACATACGTGAATTATGATAGCATGAAATGAGAACACGCGTTGATAAGAAAGTTACGGTCATAACGAGTTCAAGGCGTATTATTTGTGAGTTACACGAATTTATTATAGTTAAATCCGCCGTTCGCCGCTCAGACGTTTCAAATTGCAATTTCACGCAAAATATAAGATTTACAATTTTTCTATTGTTTAGAAATGTGTGTGAGGGAATGTATTGATAAAATTAATAGCGCTCGAAGTGAAAAAAGAAACGAGAAAAGGTTTATTTTGAAACGCGCGAACACGAGATTTTCTGAAATTTGAGGTGGGACAGGTCCGGTCAGATAAAGTTGCCAAAATGTGTTTACTATGTGTTTACTGCTCTGAAAACTATCAAAAAAACTCACTTCACAAAATAAAGTACAATCATTATATGTTATAAATACTTATATATTTTAAAAAGAGAAAGAGAATTATTTTAAATAGAGATGTTACTTATGTAGAATTAAAAAAAAGGAAAAATAAAATCATTACAAATAATAAATTCGTATGAGCGATCGCAACATCGAATCTGAGATTTATAATTTTGAAATGAAAAATTTGTCAAAATCAAAAGTAATTTATAATTTTGCACACTCGTCAATCTCTCACTGATTTCGCTTTTGTAAACTCATCAGAGTCAAACGTATCAGAGCCACATAAATTTGTCAACTGCGTCGTCTGAAGTCTAATGCTATCATAATAACGTCATTGCACAGCCACTAATCTAATCAACAACTACCTGTAATTTTCTTTATCCGATACTATATCGCCAACTTTAATTATTTTCTCTCTATATCGCAACACGCTTACCGTTATTAACGATATTAGGTACACACACGTATCCTAAAGGATCTCGTTTGCAATCTCTCTCCGAAGTTTCGCTTGTTTTTCGCGATCGGCGACGACAGACTCATCGAGACGATCGGCCTGCTCGCATCTTCGATCGGATCGCGCCGACGCCGTGACCGATCAGATCGGTTCGTGGCGAATTACTAATCGATTTCGAAACCACCGACACAGTGTAAAATCGCGTCGTTGCGTTATACTATCGATTGAAGCAATGCACCTGCGCAACGAGTATGTATCGCGAGCGGGAATAATGCGGCGAGACGTGTCGAAAGCGCGCGAAAAGAAACGCGCAAATTAAATTCTATATAATTCTGGCTATAACGGAACAATTATGTGTGTGTGCGTGTGTATATATATATATATATATATGTATAATATACATATGTAACATACATACATTTATCTTTAATATTCTCGATGTAATTAAAATCCTTATGTTCTCGAGTAGAAATTAAAAAAACAGAATATAGCCACTAGCTGACCAGTTATCTTGATTACTAGCCGGTATTTGGCTAGAAATCGTTAAGTTTTTATAAACGTTTGTTTGACCAGTAACTGGATAGTAAAGCTAACCAGATTCTGATCAGTGCTATACTTGTTTAATCTATTTATTTATTATTTATTATTATTATCATTGCGTATTAATCAATTCCGCGCGGTATGGCATCGGGAACAAAACAGATTATATGCGTGTTTGAAAGTGTGCGAAGTCTCTTCTATCGGCAGCTTCATGGTGGCATTTGCGCATACGTTCTTCGTCGTGGGAAGTTTGCCGAAAATATTCGATAATGAAAGCTTTTGCGTTGTGTTTTCCGAGAACATTTGGCGCTTGCAACGAAAGAGAGTATAATTCTTCTGCGCGCGTGCTCGCTCACGCGTGCATAACGAGGCTATCCTAAGAAATCTGAAAAAATCATCTTGGGGGAAAGAGAGAGAGACAAGAAGATGCGTTAGGAGAATCGCTCGACGTTTCTCAACGCGCAATTGACGTCGATTGAGGCGGAAAGAGATTGCTGACAGGACGTCGATGAGTTATCGCGTCTTTCGGTACGTGCGGTAATTAATTGTCGGGGCTTATAACTCTCTTCTCTTTCACAATCCCGTCGTCGTTGTAGGTCCGCGCCCGAAACGTTTTTGTCCTGAAAATCGCATAGATTATCGGAACGCGTCGGCGAGATTAAACAATTTTAATCCACACCGAACGACAAATTAAATGAACGATCGCCGGTCGGACGTCGGTGAAGCGTCGATTATCGCGAAATATATCATCGCGCGCGTTGTTTCGTTTTTCCGCGCGCAAACGCGCGCGTTAAAGAGGAGATTATGAAAGCCATTAAAAATTTAATAACGGCCCTTGGAGAAATCCGAGAGAGAGGAGAGAGGAAGAGCCGGATATATCTCGCGCTCGTAGCTATGGCGCGAATCAGATAAACTCGTTCGGTCTCGCTATTGGACGTTTCCCAAAAATACAATTTTTTTTGTTTTATACTTCGGTCACGCAATCGCCGTACGATCTCGAATTAACGCAGGCTATAAATCAGCATTATTTCTCGCAGAGAAAACATTTCGATATACCCAGCCGGAAAAAAAGAGAGCCGATCGAGATTAATCCCGTTCGTTCGTGCGACGACAATCGAGTTTTTATAAGCGGCTGCATAATGCCGATAGCTTATCGCGCTCGCATCGGGACGGTGTCTGTCTCTATACTACATAGGTACATACATTTTATTAAAACTGCTGCGCGGAGAGAAAGGAGACATTATATTTGGAAAATGCATCGCGTTCTTATCGCGTCAAACTCCAAAAACTACATAGTCAAATAAGCGAACTTTCATTTAGGAACACCGGACACATTTTTTTATAATACCAATATGTGAATATCTTAACAGTAGGGGTTTGAAGAGATGTGTAATATTACTCGGATGCAAATTACACAAAAAAATTTGTAATATAAGTCGGTAAATAATTATTAAAGTCAAAACTTAATTTTTTTATGCTTTTGCTTTGTGTGCCAAATGGTTTTTTTTCTTCCCTTCTTTATACAAAATGAGAAAATAATTCATCACAGGTGATTTACTGACAACTTTACTCGAAACATATCTTCGTGACAAAATCAGATTCTTTGGGAGCGAGAAGGCGTGCGCGCAATCTCGCGAACAAGCGAACATTTCATCTAATGCGACATCGGACCGCAGCGATTCGTGGCTGCGCGGCACAATAGTCGACTACACGCACCCTATTTCTGCCGGCGAGCACGTCGTCGTCGGCAAATTTTCCACGTGATACGACGGTCTTAATAAGGACATCACAGCGTGGCGGTTTTTTAGACGTGGGCCGAAACCGACCGTTTGCGCAATCTCGACATCTAAATTCATCGCGATGTTTGACCGGAAGATTTCTTCGCGCGCGCGCACCCTCTTCTGTCCTGGTTCACTCCCAGGGGGACAGGGGATACGTTTCTGTGGGCATGGGAGTACACGCCCGTAAGACACGTATTTATGTAGGCGCAGAGAGAACGAGAAAGAGAGAGAGAGAGAGAGAGAGAGAGAGAGAGAAAGAGAGAGAGAGGGGCAAACGGTCCTGATGCAGATGAGATCGTATCGCGTGCCCGGTAATCGTCAGATCTCAGGAGCGGGACAATACCGGGCCGTTCTCCACTGTTCGGGAACACTCAAACATCGCGCGACAATGGCGCCGAATGGGCGACAGCTGCTTAACGCTCGCCCTCGCGCGCTCATACGATTCTCTCTATCGCTCTCGCGGGAAGTTTTTAGCGACGGATTTTCGGTAGAAAAAAAAATGCAGAATGTGTGCACGGAGCTCTTCGTTGCGCGAGAAAGAGAAGCGAACTACAAGATGACGTTTTTTTTCGAGCGAAAGCAACTTTGTATTGCGTAGTTTCGAATTCTCAAGTTAGAAGTCCTTACATTTGCTTGCTCCAGTCGTATTCAGATTTTTATTAAACCTCGAGATTCCACGAGTTTTGCGAGAAGAGGAGATAAGAAACAGTAGATGCAAAGAGCACAATACAAACTCCTCATTGACATTGTCGTAATTAAATTACTGTTCGACGGAATTGCAATTAATGAAAACGAAGCAATTTTTCACGAGAGAAGACGGGAGTTTAGTTCCGTAACACATGTTTGTCGAATACGCGAGTGCGATGCACGGGGGCGCCGCGTCGGCCGAACGTTAATTGTAACTGGCGAAAAAAAGCGAGATGATGGCAAGAGAGAGAGAGAGAGAGAGAGAGAGAGAACAGCACCTCTCCTCTCTTTTTTTCTCCCTCGTGCCTCCCGTAAAAACCGAAAATCCGCAGATCGGTGATTGGCGATAACCGAAAATACAGCTGCAGTTTGCGGTCACCCGATGCACAGTGGCCGTAGATGGCCGATCGCGATTATCGAAACGGAGAACGGGCCCGGGGCAAAAACGAGATGGAGTTCGAGAGAGGAGAGTAGCGAAGGGAGAGAGAGAGAGAGAGAGAGAAAGGGACGGTGAAGAGAAGAGCAGCTCGTAGAAAACGTATTTTGACTGGAACAGCCGTAATTTGGCGTGCATTGTGAGACGCCATTGTCGAGCGGGAGGTGGAAGCCTCGCAACGACATGCGGTTTTCAGTGTCCCGTGCGTTTCCATATATAATACGGAAGATGTATATATATATATATATATAAAATGCGATGAGAGCGTTTTCTCTCGCTCGTCTCGAGTCGTCTCGAGAAATTTGTTTGCGCTTGTTGGTAACGTCGTGTGTCACAATCGTTCGTGTGCCCGTGGGAGACGCCATCGGGCTCTCTATTGTGGTC